CGAGTCCAAAGCGGCACTGAGGATATAGTTGAACTTGCTCCACCATCTAAAGTGTCTTCGTCGGATGACATATTCTACAAATCGTTAGCACATGCTCATTTAAATGTTTGTGTGACTTACGGAAGATGAATCCGACGATGAACCAGGAGGAATAGTTGATACCTCGGGCGGGGGGAATGTACGATGGTCCGTTAAGAGCGACGGGAATGTTGACATAGCGTAAGCGCGACTTGGGGAACCGTCTCTGCCAAAGGAAGAACGGAATTGGCAAGAGCGCACCGACAATGAGCGCATACAAGTGGCCGTGGTACAATGTTCCCGATCCAAACTGCCTCGTGGGGCCAATGAGACCCCAAATGGCCGAAGCAGTGAAGAAGACACCATTGTGCGGGCAGACCAAAAAGTCTTTTTGGGTCGGCGAGCACATGTCCTTGACGTTGGCAAATAGCCATCGCTTGACGCCGACTTGCACAAAGCAGACGATCAAGCTCGAGACGGTTTGCACGTGGAACGAGGCGCGAGGAGGCACCTTCATATAGTGACCGAGCTTCAAGTCCATGACGAACGACAGGGCGGTATTGATGACTTGGATCGAGTACGCTTTGAAGATCTGAAAACACTAAGCACAAGTAGTTGAGGAAGTGGAAACACTCACCATGTTGGGTAGTGGTTTACCAGCCAATAGGGCACCAGGAATCGTCTCTACGATCAAATTGATGGCAATACCCTGACCAGTGACCGCAAACACGAGACCACAAGGCAAGAGGTAAATCACCGGGATGATCAACGAGAGCGCCATGGCCCACACGGGCATACCCGTCGGCCAAACCTCAATGGCCACCACGACCAACATGAAGAAGCCAATGGCAATCGTCGCATACCAACTGTCGGGAACCTCGGGATACTTGCGCATCAACTTGGCGTGAATATCATCTTCCTCTGTCTGAATCTTTTTGACACCGTTCCAAATAGTCTTGCCGTGATAGAGGATCGTGTGGGTGAGGATACACGATGCCAAGGTAAACGCGAGGAGGTAAACAAGAGCAAAAGGGCCAGGGAGATACAAGGCGCTATACTCGTTGTACCGTTCAAGGTCGAACGAGTTGGTCGTGGTATTAAAGATGGCAGTGATATTATACTTGTGTCCAAACCGATCAAACGACGATTGGCCACCCATGGGCAAATATCCAAGCTTCCAGACCTAAAAAGTGTTAGATGGATATAGAATAATGAGATGGGACCTACGTTTGTATAGTATAGGATGGGGAGGATGAACCAGTACAAAAACGCAAAGCTGAGGAAAATGTGCACCTGAGCCCACCAGGGAATCATGAGCGGGGATCCAATCCAAGCGATTTGAGCCCAATCAAAGGTGATGAGACCCATGCCAAGTCCGCTGACCGTTCCAAACAATTGGTTGACCACCAAATTGTCTACAATCATCAGCAACAAAACAAAACAAACAAAAAAGAAACACCTACTTGGTGCAATCCAGCAGACCCAGCTGAAAAAGGACAAGCCCTGGAACAAGAACGAGGGCAAAAAGGTATAGGCAAACGTGCCCGCCATGACATAGAGGAAAAACTTGTAGCGCGTCATGCCACCTCGTCGATCCGTATCTTCACCCGCATGCAAGGTATTCATGAGCGTGCACATGACCAGATTGGCCGGCCACACCATGCTCGCGGGCCACACGAGGAACTGTCTCGCCATGCCCGCCAATCCGAGCCCAGTCATCTGGGTCGCGATCAAAAACATGAGTTCCCATCCGACGCCAAAGTCGAGACCATAGTAGAGTGAAGAGACGACGATCGTGTTCATGGCGTACGAAGGGGCGGCGGCGATATTGGCCATCATGTAAATCAAAATATGCTCCTTGACATTGAACGGACCCGGATTAAGACTGAACGATCCTCCACCGAGAAAAGCGGGGAGGTAATAGGTTTGGATCGGCATGACGATCGCAAAGAACCGACCCATGGGGTACGCGACGAGCAAGACGACGAGTGGGGTGAGGAGTGGGGAAGGGTATCGAAAGTTGAAAAAGGTATTCATCGAGATGGCAATGATGCAGAGCAACATGCCGCAAAACCACATTCGGAATGTCATCGCGGGCATCTCTGGGTCGTCCGTGTTCGACACGGACGCTCGCACTTCAGCATACGGCGAGTCCTCTTCCTCCTCTTCCATCCCGCCAGCTTCCTCCGTGTACTTCAGCGTGGTCGCCATGTCCATGACGGATGTATTCATTTCGGACGACACGCGACGTTTGACACCGGGTGAATTGGGCGCATACGACGACGAAAACGAGACGCTGGTCGATGGTAAATCCACACGCACTTCTCTCGAATCGGCTGAGCGTGTAAACGATTTGCTGTTATTGGTGGCAGCACTCGTCGGATTCATCATTGGCATCGGGGCAAAGGTGGTCGGGCCTACTGTACCGGGGCTGACTGGAATGGGACGCATGCTGTATGCGTTTGGACCAAAGTCGCTGGCGGGTTCATCGTTGGATGTTGGGTCCGATGCTTCTCCGCCGGTGTGGGTGGTAGTGGTGTAGGTGGTGGTGGTAGGGTTGAGTTGGCGGGTATACGACGAGGCTCCTCCTACGGCTGCCCCACTCCCATCGAGCCCAGCGGCGGCTACGAGGTTATGGAGTTGTGCAGCAGAGGTAGCTTGGGGTTGTGTTACAGAGGGGACGTGGTGGAGACTGGATTGTTGTTGATGATACGACACTTGGGGCTGCTGCTGCTGTTGCTGCTGCTGGTATTGATTATGCTGATTATTCTGAGTGTACGAGGGAAATGCAGGTTGGTGCGGAGGGGGAGCAACATCGCTCTGGGCCGTTCCAGGGGGCAGATACGCAAAGACGTCCTCGTCCTCACTCTCCTCCTCTTCCTCCTCCTCCTGGGCGTACAAATGGTGGTGCTGGCCGCTCTGAACGTATTGCTGAGTCGGATATGCATAGTTTGCGGGACCTCCACCGTGTGCGGTCGACGGTGGCTCCGAATCCGTCCAAGCGGTCTGGGGACGGTACTCTGACGATGCGGCCGTGTACGGCCTCGACGAGTTTGCCGTCATGGGGCGTCCAGACATCTTGCTCTAGATATTTTTTGCCAGATAAGACGAGCTGTTTTGTGGTGTATATTCCGACGTGACGAGGAGGCGGAGCGCTGAGCGTTCAAAACTAGAGAGAGCGCGTGTGTGAAAAAAGGACAGAGGGGGCAGCTCAGCACAGGCGATATACGACTCGCAAAATTAACACAAAATACGCACAGTGTTCCCGTCGTCTCGAGAGATAATCTGCGATATTCTCCAGTACGCTGCGATAGTCCACGGAGCCTAGGGGCGACGACGACGACGGCTGAACGAGTCCGGGGGAGCGGGTGAACGGGCGTAAAAAGGAGGGGCTGGGACCGGCAATAGGAGAGATGTTCGTGCTGCAACCACCGCCTACTACAGACTGCAATTATTTAATCTGGAATTTATAAAAGAGAAGAGAGAGAGAAGGGGGGAGAATTGCGGGTCGCCCTTTTGGGAGCGTTGAGGTCGGTGGTAAAAGCTAAGGGACACGGCGGAAAAAGACAAACTGACTGTCACAGAATGCGATCCGTGCCTGGCCGTAGATACCTTGAAATAATATTATTATAAAAATTATTCTAACGCATGTTGATTGCACAATTACTATCGCTTACATTGTATACCACCAAATAGAACGAGGGGGAGGGGCACGGCGGATCCACCAGAGAGAAAAAAAAAAACAGGAAACAAAGACAAGGGTAAGAAGAGTTTACAGTACGTTTGCACACAATAATACGAGTTGTGGTGGTGGCGAGCATGCCTTTGCTCGCGCGCTCAGTGTCCGTTCGCCCTATATAATCATACCTCGTCCATCTCCATCAATCACGACCCACCAGCTAATCGTTGAGCAGGAGAGGGCGCGAACCCCTCTGCGGGCGTTTGCAACAACGAGGTCGTCGTCAACGAGCCATCGATAGCTGCAAGTATAAAGTTAGCACACTGATGGAAGATTGATAATAGCCCTAAGGTGGAGTTATGAAGGGAGAGGTGCTCAGGATAATGAAGGATCACCGCCGGGGCCTTAGCCACAGGGGCGAGACACACCCAGTGTATGTGATGGGAAGCGGGAGCCGAGGGAAGGGGAGGTCCACCCATAGGCGATGGGGCTAACTCGTGATTTAAAAACAGAAACAGCATACTCACTCTTGCTGTTGATGGTGTTCCCCCACCATTGCAAGCCCTGAGATTGGTGGATCTGTACGGCCAAGAAAATGACGAGTAACGCAATAGTGGTTCCCCCATCCAGCGCAGCACTCGTCACATAATTAAACCTGCAAAGGAAAAAGACCCGTTAGCGCGCCTCCCCCTAGGTGCCAGATGCACGTACCTTGACCACCATCGGAAATGACGATGACGGATATACCGTTCTAACACCCAAACGTTAGCAATAGTTACCGACACATGTAAAAGAGAAAAAAGCACAGCATAAAATTGGAGAGAGGGGAATAGAGAGACAATGAAAGGGCGGCGCCCATCAACCCCTGTCCTGTCCGTTGACAGGAGAAGACGGGGGGACGAGAGCATGGAGAGGCGGTGCGATAAAGGTTTCTCCCTCTCGTGCTATACGACCGTTCGGTCAAACGCGGTCGAAAACGTCAAAAAATCGGGTTAAACCCCAGCAAACCCCCGACCTCTCCCCTCGCCGGTGTCCCCTCTCTCCCTTTGCATCTCTCTCGTTCACTCAGTGTCACAACAGGCGTGATTGCGGCGCGTGTCCCAAGTCCCACGCTCTCAATTGTGTCCCATCGGACATGCCCACCTAAATGGCAGGTCCCCTCCCGTCGCCTTCCTACAGCTGGGAGAGTTTAGGGGAATGTGATGGGGATAGGTGATGGGAAGTACGGGTCGGTAACCGACATTTCCGATCAACGTCGGCGGGCGAGCGTACGTATACGCGTGCAATCTGCACGAGGCGAGAAGAATCAGCTGGGCCAAGGGAGGCCCACGCTTCTAGGACATCGACCATCTCGAACACCATACCACCACCACACTACAACCCATCTCCCCGCATAGCGACTCTTCTCACATAAATGTGAGAAAACGAGAGAGGGACAACCTCGTTGATCGCCACAGCCACGCATATTGGCCATTTCCAAGGCAGCAAAACAGATCCAAATAGAAAAGGTGATGATGATACTCACGGAAAATAAAGCCAACGATAAAGAAGGAGGTATAGTTGATTCCAGTAGCCGGCGGAGCAGCAGTCGGACCGTTGAGCAACACGGGCAAATTGACGTATTTGAGCCGAGTGTTGGGGAACCGTCGTTGATAGTACCACAGAGGAAAGGGGGCAAGCGCACCGGCCAACAGGGCCCACAAGAACACATTGTACGGTGCCCCAGGACCAAACAGCCGAGTTGGTCCCACCAGTCCCCTACAAATAGATTAGAAAAGGGCATGTAAAGTTAAGAAAGACGTACCAAATGGCACTGGCGTTAAAGTAGACTCGGTTTCGTGGGCACGTGAGATTATCTTTTTGGCCCGGTATGCAGATATCCTTTACGACGCTAAACAGCCACTGCTTGACGCCAATCTGGACGACGACCGAGATGCACGATGCGGCGAATTGGACCATGAACGTGGTTCGTGGGGGTACCTTGATGTAATGACCCAGTTTGAGATCTTGGGTAAACATTTGAGCCGAGTATAGCGTTTCGATAGCATAACATTTAAAGATCTGAACAGAGATGAGAATGGCCCATAATGAGTTTCTGAGACGTACCATGTTGGCGACAGGGTTGCCTGGGAGGATGGCTCCAGGAATGGTTTGAGCGAGCACATTCAGAGACAACTACAAACGAGTTAGGAACGTGGTCAACGATGAAGAATAAAACGGACTGTCTGGCCCGTGACCGCAAAGATGAGGCCGGCGGGGAGCATGTACACTGCAGGAAGGAGGACGGCCAAAAAGAGTAAATAAATAGGAGTATGAGTCGGCCAACCCTACAACATCACGCGTGTCCTCACCCCGCAAATAACACTCAACGAGACCGCATATAACGAGTATTCATATCTTTATCTCGCTCCGCCGTACATTTCCAACTACCTTCTCGTGTTTTCGCTCTCGACCTGCATCCTCACCCACACTCTTTTGTACCACGGCCGCACATTATGGAACGCGTTCCGAAGGATCGATCCAGAGGAGGAAGATATCCATGCCAAGTTGATGAAAGCTTATCCTGAAGTGCCACATTGGTGGTACTGGGGTCTTGTCGTCGGGTTTTTCATCATTGCTTGCGTTTCAGTCCAGGTACGTGCAATCGTGATAGAGAAAGGTGCAGTTGCTAATGGGTTTTGGTTTAGGCCTGGCCGACTCATACTCCTATTTATTTACTCTTTTTGGCCGTCCTCCTTCCTGC